TAATTCATGTACATATGGTGGGCATGACTTTATCTTGAAACCTTTTTCTCTTGCAAATTTGTATATCTTGCTATTAATATATTCACTACCATTATCACATCTTAGTTCTTTGATAGTCTTCGCTGTTAAATTTTGAATTTCATTTACATATTCATTTAAGCAGTCAGAGACTTGATCCTAGATTTGATACAATAAATTTTTGCCAACTTGCTATAGTCATCAATAAAACTCACAAAGTATTTCTCACCATTACATCCACTTGTTCTGTGAGGTCCATTTACATCTGTATGATAATCTCAGAATATCTTCTGCTTTTCTTCTATTATTCTTGAATGGTAAATTGTGCATTTTATTTTCAATGCATATGGCACGCTTCATATATTCGGTTTCTATTTCTTTAGGGATTCCTTCTAATAGCTGATCTTTGCACCTAATATCCAGATATTTAAAATTTACATGTCCAAATGAACAGTGCAATTTTTCTGAACGTTAACTTACTGTTGGTCAAATCTGCAAATATTTTACTATTTTTAACATAACTCTTTACTTCTTCTTTCTTTGCTATTGCTACTAATGAACCATTGACATCATATATTTTAGAGAACTTTTCTTTTGTAACTATTTTATGATTATTTGTAACTATTTTGCACTGGAACTTGTCATGTTACTTTCGATAACAGTGGTGTGAAAACTATTGCCTTGATGACTGTTTATTCTCTGGTTAGAGTATGCTCCACGTTCACAATGTCTACTAAAAGCACGACTACGTCCTCGATTGTTTGAAGAACTTTGACCACGATAATTAGTGGAGCCATTACCACAATAGTTCCTTTGATGGACATGCCAACAATTCTTTTTAATGTGACCAGGTTTTCCACAATTATAACATACATTCCCTTGTGGACCCGATTTGCTTGTTTCAATTTTGAAAGCATTTGATTTTTCTGCTGGTGCGCAATCTTCATAATCATTTTTCTCTTCAAGTAATTTTGATTTGATTTTGCTCTTTAGGTAATCGACTGTTCTGTCCTTCTCTGGTAATACATCTATTAAGTCACCAATGTGACTGCAATTTGAAGATAATGCTCTTAGCATATAGTTCAATTTTTCTTGTTCCGTCACGGTGGCGCTAGCATGTTTCAGTTCGTTCACATACTTCTAAAAATCATCGAAAAATATATTTACATCAGGATAATTTTTCAGTTTCATACATTCGAAGTTATTTCGACAAAGAATTTGTAGATATGTTGAAGTTTTTAAATACATTGCATCAAATTTTGTAATTATATCAAATGCAGTCTCACACTCGTGAATATATTCCAATTGCTTGTTTGTTTTGGCACCGTAAATGTAATTTGTAGCTTGGATATCCTTTTCTTCCCATTTTTCCACGTCATCGATTTCACTGACTTTTCACTGAACCACATCTTTACACTTTTTAAATTGAAGAAATTTCATCATACGCACTTTCCAATTAAAATAGTCCGAACCATCAAATAGCAGTATGCCGATATCACTGCTTCTTGTACATGCCATTTTTACGCTAGTACCAGTAACTTTTAAAACAAATTATAACTACTAAATTCTTCATTCATATTCACAAACCACGAGAACTGCTACCATGTTAAATAAACCAATATCGTATGAAGAAGCAAGTCGAAAAATAAGAAACGTATCTTTTCACATTTTTTATTGAAACTTAACAACACGTGCAAAACATTACAACGGCATCCATAGCTCGCACGCAGAGAGAGAGGAACTTGGTGTTGTCAATATGGTAAATATAAATGTCATATGGTCATATGGTCAATATGGTAAACTAACAAAAATATTTCATAATAAATGCTGAATGAGACAGCAATCGTTATGTATAGAATATTGCGAATGATACTGAATGATCTCTATATACATGTGACTTCAGGTAGCCTTATAGTAAAAAATCAGACTATTTGAGGACTGAAGATCTGGATGACATTCATATTGAAAGTGGCATACTGTTGTTCCATTTTGGCCATCCTATTGTTCCATTGACCGAAGCTGAGAATGTGATAGAAATGAGAATGTGTATCAATGAATATCAAAAATCCAGTGTTTACTTTTTTCCCAAGTTAAGAATCATGGTGTTTCTAAAAGAATCAGCATAATGAAGTTTCCTTAATAGAGTGGTTTTTAAAAAACTTATACAATTTCGCACATTTATATACTTATATCACTGAAATATAATTGTTTTAATTGTCTATTATTAGATTATAATGGACTTAATTTTTTTTCTCTTTGAACTGTTTTTGGTAAAAAGTGTGGATAATTCAAAAATTCTTATATGTCAAAGTTTTTTAAAAAAAAAAACTATTTTTATCGTATAACTAATTATTTACTTGTCTTTGATCCATGGGGAAATTTGCGCAGAAGGATGATTAATTTCATTTTGGCATTTTGCGTTGATTGACAAGTGTTGTTTCACTTTTCAAATTGTTGCCACCAAATATTATCAGCCAGTATTATATTTAAAAAATTAAATAATGAAGAATCTGCATAAATGTATGTTTGTTTCTTGTACTGTGATAAAACAACAGCACTTACGCCATAAAATTTTTAATAATGTAATTCTCTGAATATTTGCATGTGGAAGCCCTAATTTGGAATTTGTTTTATTATCGATTTCATATTTTGTAAAACTTGATTAAACTAATTTTTGATTAACAATCTCAAGAATTTTGAATCAAGCAATAACAACGTTGGGGGGGGGGAATTATGTCCAGCCTGCGAGTCTGTGTATTGCAAATTCTAAAGTTATGCTCATTTCTAAATTGTTTTGCGATACTGCTCTTGAATTGAATTTTGTGGTTTAATATTTAATATTAATTGAACATGATATTTAATAAGTAAAAGTAACACAAAAAATGTTAAAAACAAACCCTTTGAACGTAATTAAAATGTAAAATATTTAGTTTTTTTTTTTTTTTTTTTTTTTGGTGTGTGTGTGTGTGTGTGTGTGTTTGTGTTTGCTTGTTTGTTTTATTAATTCTGTAGTCTTGTTATTGAAAATTAAAGCACAGTTGACTGTTAAACTCTGCAGGGTTTGCAGGCACCAATATCCTGTGCAGTTCTTAATTTACTTTTAAGTTTAAACCTTCCAGAATTTTAACTTTTAATACACTCTTAATTAAACAGTTGAATATCATGTATTTTCTGCGTTATGTGTATTATATTCTTTATTTTTAATGCAAAATGCGCAGTCAGAGGAGAGAAAATATTTTCCAAAAGAAATTCATGCTAAAGCAAAAAATACATGTGGCACACTGAGAATTCCTGATATTGTAAATTTTAATCTGCTTAAGGTTAATTTTTTTAATAAGTACCTACATCAATTTTATTCTTTTATCCTAGAAAGTACTGTAATTGTTTTACATAAGACTGAGAATAAAATTGAAAAGTAGAAATATAGTATAAATGGATTACAAATGTTTAGGCACTGTAAAATGATTGCTTCATTACTTTTAGCAGAATAACTGTTATTATACAGTTGCTTCATGGTATCTTAGTAAATGGATGTCATTGAATTATTAGTGAATATATGTTATTAAATTTTTGATATATGGTTAATTTACAATATAATATTATAAATACAGTTGCATTACTTTATCAAATGATGCAAGTTTTTCTTGAAATAGCATTTCATTTTATATGGTTCTTGAGCTATTATTTAACATTTTCAATATTGTACTTAATGCAATGAAACCTGACTGAGAACAGTGAAAGATCCTGCATTATTGCAGTGCCCAATTTACTGAATTGACAAATTTTTCACACAGATATAATCAGCTCCATATAGCATTTGTAGTAAATATTGGGAACTCTTTAAGTTTACTATGATGCCAACTGCAAGTAGTAGTTGTGCAGTTATTTAAATAAGACAGACAGTATTTAAACAATTTAATGTACTGCTTCTTTATACATTGAAAACTGCTTCTTTATACAGTGAAAAGTCTGAGATTCAAAATGACTGGAACTTCATTAATTCCAGATTTTTTAGATTTCTGGAATTTAGATCAGCAGTCTAAATCTAATAAGATGACATGTAAACATTGCAATTTGTATCTTCACTTATTATTTATGTCAAATAGAAGAATGCTAATCCTTAACAGCATCAGTGCCAGAATGTAGATGGAACTGTGGAATTGCCACACTGTAGCTGGAAGAATTCAAAAGTGACAAAAAGTAGGGAATTGCAAGATTTTTTTCTGTATTGGAAAATTATCTGATTGCTAGTATGGTTTGTCAAGGAATAGTCATTTTTTATGAACTAAATATTATAATTAAATATTGTTATAACAATTAGTCAGAAAGAAATCACATTTGCCAATTCACGGGAGAATAATTTCTGTGACAGTAAAAAAAAAAAAAAAAAAAAAAAAAAAATTTAAAAAATTAAAAAATCTGTTTGAGGTCTCTCCTACCTTTAAATGATTGTTCACTTATGAAGAATTTCATTCTTTTAAAAATATATAAACTTTCATTGTTTATTATATATATAAACTTTCATTGTTTATTAATGTATATCAATTAATGCTGTTGTAACCCATATTTGATTTCTCTTTCAATGCCTTATATTTCAAAATAGGAATTACTCTGCTAGGTGGTATAAATATTATACTCTCAATACATTCAAGCTTTTCTTTTTTGATTCTTGTGTTCACACTTTATGTGAAAAATATGTGTTAAAGAATATGTTTTATATTGCATTACTTTTGATGAAAAGTAAAATAAAGGATAAAGGAGTTAGCAAAACTTTTCATTCATTTTCTTTCTTTGATTGGAAAAGGACATTTTTCTGCATTAATTTGCAGAGAAGTTTCATTTTTCTGCTACTTTTCTTTCAATTTCTGTGCTTTATTTGCTTATTTTAACTATGGAATCAATGTTTTAAACTTCTAAATGTCTCCAATTATATTTTTGGCATATGTGTACAAATTCAAATTTTTAAATGTCATATATTTCAGATCAAAACTTAGATGCTAAGAGCATTCCATCTTTTGGTGATTTTCCTCTTGTATTGACTGAGTCATTGTTAAGAGCTCTAGAATATGGATATCAAGAAGCACTCCAACTTTTTCCTCGTCTCCTACAAATTATTGAATCTCATCCATTGTGCCTTCAGTCATTTCAGAAACAAGTATAATGCTTCTGAATTCTGTATCGTACATTTTAAATTTAATGTTTTTTCTTCACATTTCTGTAGAATCGCAAGTTTTTGGTCTGAAAGTATCTTATTTTAAGTATTTATGTTTAGGTTTCCAAAATGCCATGCTGGTTATTTATAGGCTGGATTAATCAAATGCTTGCTTTACTTGACAAACCTGAAGCAAAAGCTGTACAAGGAATTATAGAAAATATTACTTTAACATATCCTGATGTAAGTACTGATAACTAAAGTTTTGAGGTGTCAATTTTGTGTATTTTCAAGATATAACATGCATATGTTTAATTTCGATCATTGTTTAGATTTTAAAATTGCTTTTTGCATTTATTATTTTAAGATGCCTTATTTATTTGATTACTAATACTTGCCAATGTAAAAGATTCCATAAAAATGGAGTGAATTGCCAAGAATTATAAACTTAATCTCTTAGATTTATTTTCTGTATGCCAGTATCTGAATCCAATTAGAATTTATTTGCATTTTAAACCCAAGTATTCATTGCTATTTTCTTTCAAATACCCATGGATTATTTTTAAGAGATTGATTGAAACTTTTTTTGTATCTTAAATGTAAAATGACCCTCTCCTGAAGGAAACATCTTGTATTGGGGCTTATCTCACTTGTCTGACTTAATGAGCATAAGACCATGAATTTTATTGTGGTGAGCAGTACAAGATCACAACTGTGATGGCATGGATCTTGAACGCCATACATAAGATAGTTCAATTCTGCCAAGCTCCATCTCAGTTTTGAAGAAGAATCTCAGAAAGATGCATCTGAGGATCTCTCAATCTTTTTTTGCACCACCTGCACCACCAGGATGACAGAGAGGAGATGTACTAAATTGGAGCTATTTGAATCTATAGGAATTTTTATTCTATTAAAATGATAATTTTGTTTTTAATCCTTCTGTTGAATTGCTCTCACACCTTTCTTAATAGCTTGTTAAAGAATCAAGTATAAACAATGCAAAGAACTGTTATTACTTATTACCCTAGCACCAGCTGATTGTATAAAATTTCTGTCTTGTAATCTGTGAATTCCTTTTCCTCATGCATTTTTAATATATATCCAAAATTGCTAAAAATACCTGTTTTAGATTAATTTATAAAAGCTAAAAAATCACAGTCAGCGGTTGCATCATTGTGCAGTTACATCAGTATTTGTATGCAATTATTTTTATATGTGTTTTTATATGTTTTGCTTATCACAGTTACCTTAAACTTAATTTTTTTAGTGAATTAAATGTGCATATTATATAAATATATAATTACACTTTTATTGTTTTTTTTTTTAATTTTAGGCTATTATATATTCCTTTCATCTAAGTTCTACTAATTATAAATTTAATAATCCTGATGGCCAGTTGAATAAAGCTTTTGTTGAGAGGTATATGTTTTCACTTTGTGTGTTGAAGTGTTTGACAAAAATACTAATAAAATAATCTTTCTAATTGCTCACACTGCTTTTTCTGATATATATATATATATATTTGTAATGTTAGTAAGTATTCTTTTAATTTTATTAATTTACTGCTCATGAATTTACAGACTGTAATTATTATGTACAGTAGTTTAAAAATTGAGTGTTGATACAGCATTCATATTCTATTAACATGTATGATTTTTATGTGGAAAAAAAGTATTATTTTAAAAGTATATGATTCATAGAATTTTTTAAATTCTGTGCACCTAAATTTACCTCCTGCAGAAGCTTCAATTATTCATGCAGAAGGGCTTCGTTTTTGAGAGGGGAGAAATTATAACATCAGATTTCTTATATCGCTGAATAATTTTTGTTAATTTTTTCCCATTAATTGTGTATAAAAATTGCCAAAATCATTGAGCAGATGATTATCTAAGATATACAAAAACGTAATTGGAACAACTGAGTGTGAGAGTACCATATGGAATATCTCCCACATTTCTGCTGACAGATTCAGTGGACATTTGGTTTTACTTTAAAAAACGGTTACGTATTCTAATAGAATAGAAGCTTATAATAACTAATTAAGAAAGTATATGCTGGAGTTCTGAATATGTTATTTTTCAATAATCTTTCATTCCATATAAACATATCAATTTATTTTAAAGAGAAAATTGCTTGTTCTTGAATTAACTCACTGAACGGCACAGGATTTTAGATCCGTCATGAAAACCAGTATTTAAACAGCATTTATTAATTGATTTTGTATAATTACTTATTTTAGTGTGTATTTTCATAAACTTACAATCATTAATATGATATTTATGTTTATTAAAGAAAGTAAGAAAGAAAAATATCTTAAATTATAAGCTAATATATGCGAAGTAGCAAAACTTCTGATGAACCAGATAAAGCCGGTCATAATGCTCAGTGGTTTAATTGAAGGGATTAAGTTGCCTGCTGAAGATGTTAGATCAGTTTGTTTTGCTTCTTACATAAATAATATAAAAATCAATTTGAGTTTATAAAATAATGATAAAACTGCAGTAACATAATGACAAAAAGAGGCTTTAATGCTGTATTTAAGTCTTCTAAATTATAAAATTTCTCGCAAATTTAGTCTAGAAGAAGAGCAAATATTTAGTCTTATTTATAAATTGTGGCTAAAGAAAGTTTAGGATACTTAAGATTTTTGATTGCATTTTTGTATTTTAAGAATGAATCTGCAGAACTGAGGGAGCTGAATTATAAGCCAGGGATTTCAGATAAGAATATCATGTAGTTATTCTTCAATAATCCAACGTAAATATTCAAGGATTTCAAAAAATGTAAAAAATTAACCTAAATAAAAAATAATTTAACCCTATGACTGCCGTGGAAAACGTACAAGATTCATTTTAAAGTGCCACGGTTTTTCACACAGGCGCACATAGTTATGTGATGTATTAGGGGGAATATAAGTGCAAGTTTTACTTTCTAAAAACTGCTTACTTTCATGAAGTAAAGAATAAAAGAAAAAAAGAATGCACAAAATTTAATGTTTAGAATAAAAGTATAATAAAAAGATGTAAGTATAAGAAAAATGATGTTTTTATAATAAAAAAGAATCCCTAAAATGGAGTTTCGATCAATTTATTTTTAGACCAGTAACGTGTAATATCAGTTTTCAGTGTTATACCTTGTGAAATCAGTATGCCTAAAAAAACATATATTTCTTCTGAAAGGGTTGGAATGCCACGATTTTGTTCTTGATTTTTCCTTAGCAAGGTGTTGGTTCATATACTCGTCTACAAGATGGTTAGTTTCAGTAACAATATGAAGCACGAACAGTTCATCAAAAAATAATTCAAAAAAGATAAATGGGTTTGATATCTGTTATATCTTTCTTTATTCCTGGAACCTACTACAAAAAGTAAACAAAAACGGAGGACACGGAACAAAAAAAAAAAAAAAAAAAAAAAAAATACGTTTTACTCAAACAACACCAGCAAATACCACGCAGTCATTACTTTCACCACTTTAGACACATCCTTCTCTCCAGTTTCTCCCCACACTTTTCTGAAATAGTATCATCCTTCGCATATTTTGTCAAAGTCATTGTGGTATTGCATTCCAAAGCTTTGCAAATAATTTTATGGGTAGCAGCACAAAGCAAATGATAGTATTTTGGAAGGACATATGTATACGTCTGGGGCAATTAACGCATCAGCTGAGCAAGGTGTATATGGCAGTTAAGGGGTTAAAGTAGGTATTAAAATGTCCAAAAGAAATTAAAACAATACAAAATCAGAATAAAAATATTTGAAATTATTTTTATATAATCATCAAGATATAATCTGCTCTGGCATAAATTTAAACTAATTATGCAAAATAATACAACATAAAATTAGAAACCAAAGTCGAAAATTAAACACATTACTACCAGACCTAGAAATTATTGAAAATTTATAATTTAGAAATCCAAGTTCAACTAGATAATAAATTCCATCTTATTTTCAATATCAGATGTCAAAAATGCTTTAATTAGAAGCCTATTATTCAGACTTACGTATTACTATGTACTTACAGTGCAATATTTAACTAAAATCAGTAATTAAACATCTTGAAATGTTGTATGCCAATCCTTGCACATATATCCTCAAAGATTTGACTAGCACACTGCTTTCTGTTATCTGATATTACTTTAAGTGAATCTCCATATTTTAATATGCATTTATTTAAAAAAAAAGAATCTGCAACAATTTTCATGGAAGCTCTTTTGAATGGAATTATTTCTCCCCACTTTGAAAAATGATCAGCAATCACAAGCAAATATCTGTTTTTATTTTTTCACTACATAAGTAGGAGCCCTATAAGTCAATTCCTATTATTTCATTAGGAAATGTAGCTTTTGTATTATTTATAGGTTTTCGACTGGGCTTTAAGTAATATCATTAGCTAAACGACAAATGTTACAAGACATGATGCATTGCATTGCAAATTTCAGTAGCTCTGGAAAATAAACAGCTTCCTTTAATCTCTGTACTCTTTTTCTTATTCTGAGATGGCCTGATATTGGTGCCTCATCTGCAATAAACAGTTTTAATTCCTTATGGTTAGGAAGAATTTGAGAAGGTACCAAGCATATTTCACTTCTTTCCCAACATTATGTAGTTTAATTCTTGATACTTAATCCAGTACAAAATTTTTTTCCTCTGGGAGTGTGTTTAATTGTTAAATTGTATTTTTGCAATTCAATAACCCATCTTAAGAGTCTGGGTGACAAATTCTTCCCAGAATACAAGTGTTCAGTGTCCACACAGTCCTTATCCTCATAACTGCCCTTTCCCAAAATAAATTTGAAATTTTGTACCTCCAACAGGATTTTTGAATGCTCTCTCTCTGTGTGTAGGAATATAATTTCTTTGAGACCGACTGTTTTGTTAAAATACGCAACTGGTTGTCTGTCTTGCTGAAGCACAACTCCTATTGCGAAATATGATGCATCTGCAGCAATTTCTAATTTACCATCTTTTTCTGGAAATTTCAGCTCTGGAGTTTAGATTAATGCCATTTTTTGTTTTTCAAATATTGTGATTCTTTCTGTTGACCAAATGAATCTGCCTTTTTCTTTTTTAAAATTTTATAAGGGCTCTGCTATTGTGAGTAAAATCTTTGATGAAAATCTTACGACAGGAGCACAAGCCCAAAACTGATGCTAATTTGTGTGCCATATTAAGTAGTTGATAATTCTTTATCACTACAGTTTTAGAAATTTCCATTTTGATTCCCTTCTGAGATATCTTGTAGCCCAGATATAGGAGTTCTTTGACTGTGAATTTACATTCACCTTTAGACGTGCTTCTTTTTGAAGTGAAAAAATATTGGTTGTATCATTTATGACTGCATAATATCATCTACATAAATAAAAGGTGATTTTCTAAGGGCAGGTTATCAAATTACATCTGCATCTTGTTAAAATGTGGTGGGTGTACCACATAGGGCAAACAGCATTCTAAAGAAGGTGTTAATCCCCGATTTCATCATAAATGCAGTTTTGGGTACATCCTCTGATTTTGCATATATCTGAAAATATGCAGAAGTGAGGTCTACATCACCATGTATTTTGTAAACTTAATTTTCCTTATTATTACCTCAATTATCGATAAGGCATTTAAGTGGATATTTTGTATGCTATGTAGTTTTCTTATTCAGAAGCAAAATGATATGCTTCAAAGTCAGTGGGTTGGAGATTATCTTTCTTTTGGTATAGTATGACAGGGTTGGTCTAGGGACTACTTATAGGGATTATAATTTTGCTTTCGAGCATTTCTGTAATATGATTTTCTTAAAATTTTTTCCTTGATCTTATCATAGCAGAATGGTTTTGCTCTGCAAGGGGGTTGATTTCCTGTTTCTGTTGAGTAACTGACCACCTGCGTCAACTATAGGTTATCATCAAATAAATCTGAAAAATTTCTTACCAATAGCTCCAACTTAGTTTTCTGTTCCGACTTTAAATACTTCAGGTCCATTAGTGGCTGCTGAACTTCTTTCCTCACCAATTTATTCATCTGCAACTGCATCACATTTTCCTAAAAGTTAATTTTTCCACTATCAAATTAAAAAAAAATCTCTCCCAAGTGTTACATTAGCTTGACTCCCCCCCCCCCCCGCTTTATAGTGTTTATTTTTTACCTGCAAATTCAAAGATATTTTACTAACATATTCACAATGTTTGCTTTGGCCTCTATTACTTTCATTCCTAAGTCAAATAATCTGTACCATCTAAAATTTTCCTGCCAAAAATCTACTTTGCCCCCTGATGTCCAATAATGCATCCGATGCTCTGCTATTTAACATGATTTTAATCATTAAGAGGGATAAATTTTTAATTAACACTGTATTAAATTGAACGTGAGAGGGATTTTCTTCTTTCTGAGATGACTATACCCTTTGTATTGCAGCAGTCTTCCTAGTTTTAAGGTTTCTTATCTCCCCCATTTTCTTCTTTTATGATTTATTTTGGTGTATCTATTAGTGGATAAAAATTATGCTCTGGAGGTACCTACTGCTGCCAAACTTTGGCCTTCTGCTACAGATCTGTGAAAATTTCCTCTAACCTGTGAAAATGTTCACTTCTCATATCCTGATGTTTGTGTGTTGATTGACACTTGCCTATTTTCAAATTTTACTGCTAATTCAAATAATTGTTCTAGCATAATTAGGTTTGTTAACAAAAAAAAAAAAAAAAAAAATTCTGAATTAGAGCCAACAACCTGGGCAATGTTATTTGAATAACTTTTGCAGCAGTGTTTTTTTTTTTCCCCTCATTCAATAAATTTACCACCTGCACTTTTTGCAAAATGTAATCCATCAACTCCTCTGTCTTCTTCTGATATTTGCCGCAAAGTTCTTTTAATTTTGCCCTATCTTTCATCTTAGAGAATGCTTTCAAAAGTTTGATTTTAAATACTTCAAACTAAAATGAAATTCATCAACTCCTCTGTCTTCTTCTGATATTTACCACAAAGTTCTTTTAATTTTGCCCAATCTTTCATCTTAGAGAATGCTTTCAAATGTTTGATTTTAAATACTTCAAACTTATAATTCTCATTGCCTGGTTCACCTAATAAAAATTTACCAATGTCTTTATATGATCTATGTTGCCTGTCCTCAAAGTGCAGCAGTTACTAGGGTGACCTTCTGAAACTCCATAACAGGGTATATTGAATTTTTTTTTTTCTAATTGTTTCAAGAAGGTCATAACCAAACTTCTATGATTGAAAGTGATTGGTTGGTTTCATTGTTGTGCACATAGTTTTTATGATGAAACCAAAGCCTTCCTTGTTGTGGAGAAACTTGAAACTTGCGGGGGGGGGGGGGGGGGGGGGGGGGGGGGCAGCAGACAAAAAGCAGTGTTGTCTTGTAACCTGGTTTGTAATCAATTCAGGTGCCACTATAAGGTTGTACTTGAGCTGCATACATGCACTTTAGCCCTAATACACAAGTAGTGACTTATCACTATGTCTGAAGTAGTACAACAAAGACTTGTCAAATTTTAAATGACCCTTTTTATTAAACTTATTTTTTTTTGACAAATCAGGCACAACCCATGCTACAGATAAACCACTACTTGTAATGATGTCAAGTCGGTAGAATTCTAATAATGCTATGGGAATGCTAATAAGCTTAACTAAGATCCAAAAGCTCTCAGCTTAATACACTAAAAACTGATTTGCATGCTGGTGAGGAATACAGAAAGAAGTGCATAATTTTATGTTAATAACACATGTTTAAATAGCATTCAAAAGACAGTAATCCTTTGCCTGCAGCTGATGACATCTTAGGAAAATTAGCAGGGAACAAAGGTTTTCAATCCTGGAGTTTAAGAGTAGTTACTGAGAAGTGTAAATAAAGTTTCAAAAATCGTGATAAAATAGTCAAAATATGTTTCAAAGTTTGCATAAGAATAGTGAAAAGCCTGTGATGTAGCTGAAGCAGTATTCTGGAAATTGTCGAAAGTGTTTGTAGTGCTATAAGGGTTATTTTTCTCAAAGCATCCAAAAGTCCTTTTGTATGTTTACATTATAAAGTAACTTCAGCTTTTGCTTGGTCTTTGTACTGTGAGCAATTTGGAGTATCAGCAATATTATTTTTGCATGTTGAAGAGATGAACTTATCTCTTTTTGCATGTTAACTTATCTTTTTTTTTTTTTTTTTTTTTTTTTTTTTCCCAGCCCAAACTTGTAGGTTTTTAAAATTCAGAATAAGTGAACAAATATGTGGAATTGAATAAAGTTTAAAAAAAAACTCATTAGTCTGTTATTTCTGGGATAAAAAATAAAAACTTTCAATTTTTAGAGGTCACAATTATTGTTTGTACTAATCCTGCCCTCAGTTTAAATTTGGTGAAAACTTCCAGAATTTTTCTGCATAGTCATCTTGCAAGTGATGCAGATTCCACTCCATTCCTTCTAAGCGCCTTTTGACTAAGCTCTCCAACTTTCATGTAAAGCACTCGAGAATGTCTTTTGTGGTCAGAAATTTTCTGAATTTGTTTTACCTACAATATAAATTTAAAAAATTGATTACTCTTTGAGTCTGAACATGTTTTGAATCAATTTCTGATGACTTCAAAGTACAACATAAAGTGCATTTGGGCTTCATGAAAAGTAGGAAAAGAATAATTGTTAGAATTTTTAATTTGAAGAGTTTATTTAATCATTTTTAATATATAATAGTAAGACATTCCTCTTCTTGTAAATTTTTTCAGTACATAGTTTTTTTATTACCTTCTTTTAAATGCTTAATAGTTGAACATTTAGAAGAGGTAATGAAAGCACTAATTAACTGTTTCACATAAAATATTTTCCAATTTTAGAATAAAACAGATTTTGGGAAAACAAACTTTAATTGGTGATTTTGTTGCTGCTTTGGAGCATCTTAGTGTACCTCATGTATTCTTTAAGGCAAGTATTTTCAACTTATAGTAAAAATTAATAACATTTTTATATGTTTTTTAAATAAAAATCTATGTTAAGTTTATTTTTAGTTTTTAAAGGAAATATTAATTTAAAAACAAGCAAAATAATAATACAGCACAAAGTGTGAAATCCGGATGTCCCATATCCGGAATAATCTAAAATCCGGACCTCAAAACCACCAACGTTTTTCTCGTAGGCTTTATGCATGCGCATTTGATTCCTCCTCCTCTGCACATAATAAAACATCTAGAGAGTCCCGATTCTTAATTTTACTTTGACACTAAATAAAAGAACTTGTTATTGAAGAAACAATAATTTTAGCATAAATTAGTACAATCAGTAATTTGGCATCATTGCTGTGTATCTGCTTGGCAGACACCTCAAACTGAAACATTTGACATTGATACATCCTTGATCTGATGCTGGTGAATCATTATTTATTATAATTTCCTTTCATCACCTCATGCTTATTGAAACATGACAACTTGAGAAAGGACTCATGTAGCGATTAACATAAATAAACAATATTTTTATGTTAGTAATTGAATAATAAAGGAGTGTGGTAACCTTTTATGTTGACATTACGCTAGGCGATGAGTACATAAAGATTTAAGTTAAATGCGCTAAAAGATGTTCACAAAATTTACCAAAATTTTTTTTCCATGTGCTAAAAGTAGATTTTGTTGATGATACTCATAGACCCAAAGATTACATTTAGGGCTATTTGAATTAAGAATAACTGATTTGTTATTCACGTAAACCCAGAACCAGCGCCAGGGATCGTATGACCACACTGAGTCGCAGAATTTAGGACCCACAGAGGCTGCATCAAGTGGTAAGATATGTAGCGCCGCCCTCAATAAGGCTTAAGTATATGTGGGAATGTATTTCTTCAGAACTCTGATAAACCTTAAGCATGTGCAAGAAATAGACATAAATATAATAAATAACTATTACAATTCAGGCCTAACTGTCTCAGTGTGCGATAGAAGATAACGGAACAATTTGTCATTAGTCGCCAAGCTCATGATGCATAGCCAAATATGTATAGTGAAGGATAGCTAAATTTGATGAAGATAGCCGGTAATTTTAAAGGTTTTCGGACATCGTAAAACAAATGTGAAATTTTCCGATTAACGGATTTTTGTAAGGAAATGGGGAGAAGCGGTAATAAATAAAGACGATATAAAAGAAGTTTTTCATTGTGATGACAATGCATCTTAATCATCAATCAATTAATGAATGGCGAAATCTGTAGTATGGTACTAGATAAAAAAAATATCGCTACCGATAGTGAAGAAAGTGACAGAGAAGTTACTGAAAACAAGAAAATTTTGATTGACAAGTTAGTCCGAATTCTCAAAACAGCAGTTATAGGACTTCAACGATGTAACTGAGCAAGAGATTATGTCTATCTACAGAATTAAAGAGAAAGTACAAAAAACGAAGCAAATTAAACAACTTACATTGAAAGAAATGTTTAATAAGGTAAACAAATAAATATTAAGGTTTTTTTTTTTTTTTTTTTTTTTTTTTTTTGTAAGTTTTGATACTCTTTAGATCATAAATACTTCATTATTTCATAAATCACAATTTCATATTTTTAATTTTATAATTTCACACGCCATCTTACTAGATTTAAACTGCTGATCTAATATCCGAAAAAAATCCCAAATCCAGAGTTGCCAAAGTCCCGGCGAGTCCGGATTCAGACTTTGTACTGTAATAATAAATCTTGGACTGTTATACAATTTAAATAAAGCAACATTACTAGTATGCATTGATAAAGGTCTCTCTTTGAGATTTTTTTAAAAAAGAGAAAAAACTCCTCCTCTTTTTTTTTCCCCCTTTTTTTTAAAATTTTTTTTTCATTTATTTATTTTTAAAGAAATTATTAGTATTAGAAGGGCAATTTTAGAACTTAGTCATCCTCCCAGTGAAAGGTGGACTAATATATTGAAAGAGATGTATTTCCTACTGAACATCTGTTTCTCTCCCATCAACTGTAGTCAGAATTATTAGGTATTAATGAATGTGTTGCTTTCATTGCTTTTGTTTTCAACTTTTCATTAATCAACTTTTTCCATCTCTCATGTAAATTCTAATAATTTTCTCCATTTTATACATTTATAATGTTATATTTTGAGTTCTTTAATTAATAGATAATGACAGATATTGTTTTACCAGTATAAATCGTATAATATTTCTTACAGATTACTTCTATAACTGTTCCTAATAGATTAATTACATAATTTTCAATAAATTTCCTAAAGTTATGTAAGCAGCATTTAAATGTATTTGCTCTTTAAATAACAACTTATGCATTATTATGTTTATTTTTTTTTTAAATCTAGGAATATATTAGCGAAATTGGATATTTAATGCAACGTAAAGCACTAAGCAATGAAATAAAATGTGCATTTGCTAAAATGTATAAGGATTTATTCAGTGAGGAGGTGATACTAGGAAATCAAAGGATTTCTCTTGGACCGTTACAAAAAAAATTTGCAGAGGTAAAGTGAAAAATTGGTTTGTATGTGTATTCAGTAATTTTTAATAGTGATGTACTCTTTCTAGTATCCATATGTGTTTAATATTTTTCATTATATTTTCAATCTATACCTATTTGCGTATATTTATAAAAATCTGTATTTTAAGTTATTATAATTAATTTATATCCTCAGTTTTTTAAGGGGAGGAGAGAGGTGAGTTTTATTTAGTATGGATTTTGCTTAAAGTACTAGATTTTAGAGTTTATATTGTTTGACAGAGACTATTTATTTACAGTTTTGAGAATAGTTGAAATACTTATCAGACAATGACTTTTATGTAAAGATCTATAAGTAACTAATGGTAATTCTGTCACAAGTGCCGTATTTGACGACATATAAGACTCACTTTTTTTCCTAAATTTGGTCTCAAAAAAGTTACCTGCATCTTATACGTGAAGGACACAGGTTAACTTTCAATACTGATTGCTATTTTTAGCCCAGATAAAGGTCTAGACACACATAACTTTTTCTACATCTGCCAAAATTATTTTGAGCATGCGTGAAATATCTGTCGCCCAAAAGCACCAAAGTTCAAAGCTGATGTCGAAGTTCGAACAGGTTCGACGGTCACATTGCGTCTATGAAGCCTTTCCTTCTTTACATAGACTTTCTTTGACTCAGCCGACACACGTGTTGGTATCAGTGCTACTCTGTATAAACATGTCGGTATCGGTGCTTAAAACTATTTGTTTTAAAAAAATACCCTGGAAAATATGTATACAGGAAACAGGAAATTAAGCTATACAATTCAGTATAAACTAGGAGTGTTAAACTATGCCAAAGTGCATGGAAACAGAGCAGCAGCAAAGCATTTCGGTCCACCACCTACCAAAAAAATGATACTTACTTGGCGTACTTGTAAAAAGATCTTGGGAGGACGTATAAAGGCTGAAGTAATTGTTAAGTCCTTTAAGAAGTGCGGAATCAGTAATGCTCTTGATGGAACAGAAGACAATGCATTATTCGAAGAAGGTGATACTAGCGATGACGGAAACGGTACTGATGACGATATTCTCATTTTCGATGATGATGATACTGAAAAGGATTGTTATGGTTTTGAAAGTGATTAAAGTCTAATTTTGTGATAGGCAATGTTTTCCTTGAATCTCTGGTTTTTGTTGTTTCTGCTTTATTTCGATTGTTTGCTGTTCATTCATTTATTCTTTATTGAAATTTACATATCATGTTCAAAATAGCTTGCCATTTGTTTATTTTCCTTAATAAAAATATGTTTGGTAATTGCATTCAATGATTGTTTATTTGGCTTTTACGAAACGTGAGAACTAAAAGAAACCACATTTTAAGTTATTGTGGTACTGTGCTGTCGCGCGGACTATTCAAACTTTTTCTCCTTGTGTGTGGCCTTCTAAATAAGGGTGCGTCTTATATGCCGTCAAATACGGTAAATGTGTAAACAGTTCAGTCGTAATAGAATTTCAAAGTGTAATTTGCAGGTATGGTGATTTGAAGAAGTGTTTTGCTAAAAAAACAAAGTCATGGAAAAAAAACAGAAGCAAACAAATCTTTTAGAAGAGTTGCTTTTGATTATCAAAATTCTATGTTTAATTTTTTCCCCTGATTCAGTTTATGTGTTTCCATTGATTATGTTGATTCACTGATAATGTATGACTGACATTTTTGAAAATATAGTATCAGCCATATTTTTCCCAAACCAGTTTAACATTCCAGTTTGAAAAAGCTTCCTTGTAAGACAAAATTCACCGAAAATTGCTTTTTCCTTTTCTTGAAAATTAAGTTTTTTCCTTAATGGCAAATTAATTTTATATAATTAATGATTTCACAGTGTGAATAATGAACTTATGAGTATATTTAATAGCTCCCAAGCTTTAGTAGTAGATCTCTTTATTAGACTGAAACTTTTTCTAAATTAAAAAAAAAAAAAAAAAAAAAAAAAAAAAAAAAGTGGGTGTCAATTCCCTCTAATTGTTTGGTATGGCATTAATTAATCTATTCTGAAAAAAATTCATCCTGTGATAGTAACAGAGAACTACTGAGAGTGCCTGAATTGATTTAAAGTGCATGAGCAAAGCTGGCATGAAAAATACATTAAGAAAAAATATCTCTAAAAATTCTAATTTGATCCTTTCTTGGAGATTCCAAAAATAAAAACATGTGATGCTTTATAGATAAAACTTATTCAATAAAGCCACCTTTACCGTCAGTCACAGCCTTCAGACAACCTCAGCATTGAGAATAGATGCATTTTATAGTTTCAGGAGACAAATCTTGAAATGCCTCGAAGATTTTTAATCCTCAGCTAATCTTTATTGTTACAGTCTTATTAGTGATCCTCTCAGTTACACTCTACATATTGCTCAGGATGACTGTCGATAGATAAATTTGGAGACTGCATGTCAGAAGTGACATTTCAAAAAAGTTATCTTCAAACCACTTTTGAATTTTCTTTGCTAGTGCAGTCTTACTGAAAAATGTATGGTCTCCCTATGGCAACTTAGGGCTTTATTACAGTTACCAGATTTTGGTACACTCTGTCTTTCAACATGGAATGCCCATCACTGCTTATAACATGAAAGTGTATGATGTGAACAGAAAACTTTAGTTTCATGACTCTGAACACATTATTAGGATTCAGGTTACTGTTGTTCTCCCTATTGTGTGCCTTATTCTATCAAAAATGTTTCATCCTTGTGCAGGTAAAGCAGACGAGTGTTGACTTCATGTGAAAGCAAAATAGGCAGTCACTTAAAGTACCATCTAAGTTACTCTCACAAGCAACTACTAAGTACAATATATTTCTGTCTGTTTAATTTGTATGCTGCATAATATGTTTGATATATATGGAATGTCAAATGTACTGAGTATTTAGGGTGCTAAAATTGTTGGAAAGAGGCTATGGTCTTCCTTCTTCACTTCTTAAGACCTTTCATAATCATCCAATCTGTTTTGGGGTGTGTATTCATTGGAGTCAGTGATAACTAAAAGTCTAGAACAAAAAGCATGAATTAATAAAACTATTATATTATCTGCAGTTTTCTTATTTAAATTCATGTGAATTCTGTTCACACATCTTGTGTTTGATTTCTGAATATAGTTTATTTGTATATAGCTTCACAATGAAATAGATTCCTATTTCATAAATGGAGCTCCTCCTGTTTCATAGATGGAACTGCCTGAACGTAAGGCATTGCCAAGTTTTAGAAATATTTTATTTATTGGATATATGATAAATGTTTTATTTTATAAAACATTAAATTGTATGCTTTCTGTAATTTAAAATGAAAAAGTAAAACATATTGTATCACTTTAAATGTAATGCAGGCAAAGTGTGCTTTTCAAAATCAAATAGGAAAAATTTACAATTCAGATTTAAGGATCTTTAACAAATTGTGTAAAGATCTGTAGAAGTATCCGAAACATGTTTTATAATCAAAAGCTTATTGTATTTTGCATTGACTTTTATATATAAATACTTATTTTCATACATAGGGTGTAAAATTACAATGTGAAATAGTTTTTTTTAAACTAAATCAAAAATTTATATTAAGAAGCAAATGTTTAATGCATATAGAAAAAGAATAAATAAATAGTTGAACTAAAGTTAATATGTCCAATACTTTTCTGTAATTTAAATTTTGGATAAGTATATTAACAGTTTATTCAGCATGTGATGAAACGTAACTGATTCAAAACTAATACCCTGTGGATTACACTATTTTACACTGGGACATCTAAAATGTAATACTATTAAGTAACTGTCCAATAGGCTTGAAATTTGCACCATGCATAGACATCAGTAGGACACAAAAATGAGTAGCATTGCAGAAAATTCAAATCACAGACATCATTATTGCCTGCAGAAGCATTTTAAAAAGGAAGAATAGCAGGCTATTTAAAGTACTGAACTGTGTTTTTTCTGCTGTTTCCTTCCGTGGAAAGCTTCAGAATAAAAAAAAGGGGGAAAGGCTGTAATTCAATGAGTTTCTACTGATGTGAATATAGAGTTACTGTGCTGACAGAAACATTTACACAAGCCTCATCATACCACCAAATGAAAGACCAAGCCTTTTATGCTGCACATGACAATGATGGATCGTACAGCAACATCTAAAGCTGTAGTGCAAGAATCGTAGTCTGTTGCACAACAACCTGTATCAGCATGTACTTTTCAATATTGTCTGCAGAGGAAAAGAATCTGTGCAAAGCATCCATTTTGACTATCGCCATCAAGTCTACATCATTGGCATATGCAGCTGAAATGTTGCTTTGAATGCTGCCCAGCACTGTCTCTTTCAAATGGATCTTGATTTTGCCTATACCACCATGACGGCACCTTGTACATGCAGGCAAGTCATGGCGACTAGTCATGGCAACTAGTGCCATGCTAGTCTGTCACCTGGAACTGTGGTTTTGAGTGCCCTTGGATTTTGCTCCTGCATCTGCTTATTATGCATTTTTGGCATTTTAAGCAGCTACCAGAATGCATTTCTGGAATTAAGTAGGTACCATATGCATTTAATGACCTTGCTGCTGTTTTAAGTCCCTTATTATCAGGATTTACTTGCAGTTAACTTTATGACACAGCTATGTCCGAATACATGTGACACTCAATGTTAACAATTCTTCATTGCAACCAAATTGCATTACTGCATTGGTTCATCCATTCTTTTGATTTGCCGCTCGTTGAACATGTCTGGTCTCTCATTGTCAATCTAGGTGCTTGGTTTATACCATTTATAGTGAGAAATGAACTCTGACGATGTGTAGAACTAGCATGAGCTGGCATATCACCAGCACATAAACAAAGCCTCTTTCTTCAGTGCCAAGCCATGTCCCAGAAGTCATTGACAAGTAACTCAGTGACTGTAACAAATTCTCATTTTTCATGTTCTGCAAGTTGAGCAGGGCAAGTTGCAAGTTGAGTAATTTAAATCAGTTTGCACTTGTGCCATATATTATTTCTCCAGTAAGTATGGCTTTAGTTCCTCTTGTTTATCATGATGTTACATTTTACAAGTAGCTGATCAGTAATCTATATAGCAAACAGTATTTCTTTTCTTTTCTTTTAAACACACTTATTTTATTGATAAAAACTCTGTATGAAGACTTTCTTGTAATCCTAAATTTTATCTATAGAATAAATTATCCATGGAAATTATATTAGAATTTCATTGATATATATTAAAATTTAAGTACTACAATCATTTTATGCTAATTAAATTAAAGAATTATTTTACTCAAAAATACAAAATTTGTTTAATTATTTGTAGTTATCAATTTATAAAATTGTATTCCTTTGTCTCATATGGAAATCTGAAATAAAATTTATGTAATGACTTTTGGAAGGACAGAAATAAAAATAATGAGTATTTTTTTTTTCTTTCTTCATTTGCTGTATAAGTATTTCATTTCTGTAATTGTTACATTTATTTCAGGATTTCAGAGCTGATGTCATAGCTATTTGTGGGAAAGATGGTTCCAAACTTACAATACAGGCCAATCAGGAGGTACAACACTGCTTTCAGATACTTAACATTTATTAAATGTCTGACTTTTATTATTATTTTTTTAATATGTGTTAACAGGGTGGGAAATGTTTTATCATGATTTATTTTAGACTTCTGTCGTTAAAAGTCTCCCACACCCCTATTGTTTATTCCTTTTTTCACTTTTTTGTAGTGCAAATTTACCTATGTAATTCTGAAAATTTTTTCAATATTATGTAGTTTGTTAGTTTTGTAGTCTGTGATTTTATGTTCAAATCAATTCAATTTTTACTTTTTATGAGATTATTGAAAATTTTAATTAATTGTAGGAAGTGATAACCATTTAAGTAATCACAGGAAGTGCAGAATTAAAATATTTGCATGTTAATTTTTTTTAACTGACAATGTTTACAAATTCAGTGCAAATGGAAAGAAATTTATTTTAAATAAGATATCAAAGTAAATTATATCTGTTTCTTATTAACTTTGGGATATCTGGTAAATTTGATTATTTTTTTCCACTTTTTGTAGGTTTCATCAAAACAATTAATAAATAAATCAGTAATATTATCAGAACTACTATTTTGTCTAATTGCTTCGGCAAACATATTGGTGTCCTGAGTAGAACAGTGAGTTTACTTTAAACTATGTTTGTTGAAATTGTAGAAGATACGACACAGTTGGGAAGGGTTTAATTACCCTTTATTCTCTTCACAGTTTATAGCTGTTCCCACACTTCGGGATACAAAGACCAGTACTTGTGGTCTGAATGTAAAAAAAATAAGAACTACAAACTAACTAAATTAAGTAAGAACTAAATTCAAATGCTTTACAAAGACTATTAACGTGAAGATTGGCCTTTTAATCTTTACGTATGTAGTATGCAGAATGCGGGAAAACTACAATACTTCTTCAGTATCAAGAGGACTAAATTTCTGTCGCAGTAAAGGAGGACAACAACTGACTGAAAAGCACACATGAGATAAGGTAGTGAGAAGTGTCTCTAACTCTTTCTTGGCTAAAAGCCACAACTTAAATACTTAACAGTTTGCAAGCTCAATTTGCGTACTAAAACTAACTGCTTTTATTCTGGCTGGAACTGGAAAATAAGAGGGGACAGTACAGTTTTAAAATAAAATAAACATTAGTAAAACTTAAAATCCTTATAATATATTATCTTTCATTATTTGTGATTTCTCGTCTCTTGGAATATTGATTCCTTGGTGTAAAAATCATTTAGCTTTGATTCAAAGAATTAATATATGTATCCACATGATTAATTAACAAATCCTTTTTAGAGTGTTTGATTGCAATAAGGGAATGGAATGCTATAATCTATCTAACATTGCTAGATTAGGAGAATATATTGTGTTTGACAGAATTTTCCAGTCAAACATTTCTTCTGGTAGTAACAGTGCAAAACTAGAGTACCTGGTTTGAAAATCCAACTCCATCAAGAAGTTGTACATTTGAGTGAATTTCAATGACGTTCACTAAGATATTTATGAGGTTTTAGATTTCAGTTTCTTTCTGATGCTTTATGAGCTTATTTTTACTGCAAAGCAAAGTAATAGCAGTTGAGCTGTCTAAAAGACCCAAATTGATGAATAATGCAGGTGAATTGTAACATTTAAAGGAAGTACAAGTAATTATTAAGGCATGTAATGAAGGAATTACACAACATTAGAATACATACTGCCTACAATAGGAAACACAAAGTCACTACACCAAGATAACCATGGTTCAAAAATAAGAAAGTATTTAATGAAATTATAATGAATTTGTTACTAGTGAGTTGGATTAATTTTGTTTACTGCTAGAAGAATAGCCACTGATTTTATATATATATATTAGATAGAACAAATAGCCTATCTATTGGTTCCTTTGTGCAATGAATTCCTTTTATGTGACCTATATGGGTTATTGTTAAGTCAAATATTGGAAGTTTTGAGAATATGGCCATAACTTTGTAAGGCTGCTATTTATTTGAAAGCAAATTTAAGTCCTGCAAACCTTATTATACAGGTCAGTGAGTTATCACTGCATCTGAAAAACTCGCAAGGTACTGTACATTTTAAAGCAACCTTTTTATTTAATCTGAACTTTTAAAATAAAAGATGTAAATTTTGTAATAGATAAACCACCTCTCATAATGATGTAAATTAAACAATAACAGCCAAATAAATTTAAATGTTAATAAAGTAGTCTAAGACTATATGTTCAATAATCTCAGCTGGCTCATTTGATGTTACCAGTGTGCAAGTTTAAAATATTGGCTGTGAGAGAATGCAAAAGCCAGAATAATCATTTTAGATAGACATTGTGAAATTCTAATAGCATGGTGCAAGTGCCAGAAATTCTCTCTCTTTAAACGATCAGCTTATATATTCTAAAAGCTAATTTGCATTCTGGTGAGGAATAAAGAAGTTATATAAAAATCAAAATCATAAAAATTGCTTATTTAACATAAGACCCTGACAACTTCCTTAATAAATTTGAAAAAAGTTGTTGAATGTGCATAATGTACTTTCTGTGCTATTTTTTGGTAGGTCTTATCTTTCCAGCTGTTAAATCAGTGTATCTAAGGGTTCTTGACTCCTTATTCTGTGGCATCACATTTTTGGCAGAATTCTGAAGGTTTTTCAGTGGATTCAGAATTTTTGTTGGACTGAGCAGTTGCTTCTTCTGGATTATTATCTGAAGGGATTGGATGTCATGTTGTTTCTGGTTTGCTCTTGAGGAACATCTGGTCTTTCCAGATACTTTTTCTTGAAATAAAATGAGTTTTTAGGGCATATGCGGTAATTCTCGGCTTCAGAGTGACTGAAGTTACAGCAAGTTAATTTAGAGATCCACTTTACCTCTCAGTGTGACCTTTTATGAGGCAGTGAGGTTTGATGCACATGGGAGCTAGTTTTCATTAATCAGATGATTGCTTGTTTATCCTTTAATAATGTATGCTGCTTCCCCATTTTCATTATCCCAAAATGAGATAACAGTATGCTGTTACTTTTCATTTATGCTTTCAAATGGACAGTCTTTTATAGTGCTTTCTTTGGTGTCACTTTTCTTGTCAAGCAGGTAACAAAATATACACTGATATTTCAAGATGGAAGGGCATAACGTACTTCTAGTACAACCATCAATCCTTTTTTAAAATTTTTACTATTCTATTAAAATTATTTTTTGACTCTTCTTCATGTCAATATTTAAAATGCTGTGTGGTCTCAAAAAATTCATTATACTTTTATAGGCCACTAAGAAAGCTTTAACTGATTTACTAACAAAAATGAAACTTAAAGATAAGAAAAATTATAGTTTGAAAGATATCTCACCCTGGCTAAGTGCATTTCAGCAGTGGAAGTATCCTGTACAAATAGAGATTCCAGGTATGTCAGACAGCTCAGTTTTTAATTTTAAATACACTAAATTTGCAGTAAACTTACTTTAAACTGGATATGGCCTTATTTCAAGAAGGGAAAAATTTTTGGTTCTTTAAAAGGATGCATTTTGAAGAAAATTTTGACTTTAGATACATCATTATTTTATAAATAAAAAATTTTCTGAATGAAAGTATCAAAAAAATGTAATAAATTTAATAGGCCTCCAGTATTGTTTCTCAGAAGTTAAATAAAAAATGTTTGGTCTTCTATAATTTATCGAAATTAAATACTTTAACCTCTTCAGTGCCACTCTGGAGCTAATTCGGGCTGAAACATTTTTTTTTTTTTTTTGTTTTTTTCCCTCTAAGCCGAGACACAGGTTTGGCTTAACTCTGAGAAAAACTTGGCTCAGCATAGTTAATGCTCCTAATTAAAATGCGGCACTGAACAGGTAAAAGGCATTTCTATAGTAGTTTTGTTAAAAGGTTTTTTTTACAATGTGTATTTTTTTTATCATCAATTTTATATTTATATAAATTGAGCAGTATCCAATTCATAATCCATATAATTAGAGTTTTATACATTTCTGAATTTTTAAAAATGCATGTTATTATTACTTTCAGGTCAATATACTGGAAAGTTTAAACCACTTCCTGAGTACCATGTTAAAGTGGCTGGATTTGATGAAAAAGTAAAGTTTAATATAGTCTTCATGGGAATTTTTTATGTGTGGTAGTGACTTAAATCACAGATGCATTTTTATCCTTCCCTATTGAAAGTATCTTAAAATCGTAAATTTTAGTAATTTAATAGTACATTAGAAATGAGCTTCTTTACAATTAAATCTCAAAATGATAAAAAATTTTATTCCCATTTTTAAATTTTTTGCGACAAGCTTCTTTGTTACATCTACTATCATTACTATTAGCTTAATCATAATACATAGTATTTTTTCACTGAAGTCAATGAACAACAGTTTCTTCAACCTTTCAGTTTAATATACTTATGGTTACACTTGATGAATATATAGTCGTTTTCTGTTATTCTTTATATCTTCAGTTATTAAATTGTAGAGAACTTGCTATTTGTTTTGATACCTTGATATCACTAGGTATCAAAGTATTTGTTTTGATACTTTGATGCCTAGTGTGTTTTGTTCCTCTTTCTACATATTTCAGACAGGTGTAGTTTCCTTTTAATTTATATTTGATAAGTTTTATATCTAATTATATTTTTTACTTTTATGTTAAAAATAGCTCTAAAGTTTTGCTGCAAAGTAAGGAAGCAATGTCCTGTAAAGCATATGGGAATCAAATGTTGGCATCATCTAATTTTTTTTTTTTTTTACTGATACAGATGGTTTGTTTTGAAATAACATTCATGATGAATTCAGGAGTGGTTATTCTTATCTTGAACAGAGGAGGAAATTGAAAAAAAAAATTCATCAGTTGTTATTGTAAAATAACTGGCAAACTTAACATCAGTAAAGGTCTCACAAAGTTGTTTATGAAGATCTTAAAAAAGAAAAAATATTTTAGTTCCGTTTCTCATGCTTTACCTGGGAAAGAGCAAATGCGATTTTCTGCTTTCCATGATTTGCTGATCCAAATGATAGACATTTCCCCCAAAGTTTTCAAATTTTGACATAGATGAAACATAGCATTTTTCTAATGATCTTAAGAAAAAAGGGCAATTATCTGCTTGAATGGAAAAGTGTCATCATTGATGTAGAAATTTCACTTTCAGAAAGACCAGAAACATTAAATAAAGATCATATTGATGATTTTTACTTTTATTGGTTGAAAGGGGGCACTTTAGAGATATATGGTTAACTCTGTAGCTTATGAAGATAGAGTGGGATAGATTTCTGAAGAAAATTTAGTGCATAAGCTGAGAAATCATTGCATAAACTGAGCTTGGGAAAGCTGGTTTCTGCTGCACAACAATGTACTATCACAAAATTCAATTTTTGTTAAGCATTTTTTCTTGCAAAGAAAATTGCCACAGTTGTCAAAAAAATACTGGAAACTTAAGCATTACTCCAAAAGTTCAAAAAACTCCACAAAGGAACAAGCAGTTGTTTGATTATGCCAAGCACTGTGTAGACTTGGAAAAAAATGTATGTTGAAGATTTAAAAAGAAAGACGTTTCTTCAATTTTTTATTTTATATGCACTTTAAGCTTTGTAGACACACTGTGTATACATACGTATACAAGACCCTTAACACTAATATGTATTCATGTGTGTATATCTGATAAAAATGTAGATAGTGACACAGAGCATGTTTGTGCAATGCATACATGAGTTACCTTTACAAATAACTCAAATTTAATAAAAGTGGACTGTAATAATTGCTATTTTATTTTACAGTTCAAATCACATGCGAGCCACCTCTCCAAACAATGATTTACACAGTCAACAACAACAAAAACTGAGAAGCATTACAGTGTTGCTGTAAGAATAATACTTGCCATGCACGGTGCCAAGAAGAGAAAACATGCAGTAATTTTAGACTGTCCTAATGACAGAATATATCCACGATATTGAAGACTCATAACATACATAATTTTAAAATATTACTACCTTATACAATATAGTAATACAATAATAATCAATTTCCAATACAAAATTGTGTACACAATGCAGCAAGTTTCATAATCATGAGCTAATACAATTAACTAACTTAGGAAGCTTCCTCCTGGGGTAATTTTGTAATTCTGTGCATAATGATGCCTCTTGCTGTTTGAATTTTTATTAATCTAACTGTACTGTCAACTGCAGGAAAACATCTTGTAATGCACTCCAATACCCATCTATTTACAAGAAGCTCATCTTCCTTGATCCCAATTTTAATATTAATTTCTTCTGCTTTCCATTTTTAACACTGTTGTTGTGTGGTTAAATCATGGAGGTAGGAAGTAAGAAGGAGTCGCCCTAAACAAGTTTCTCCGTACCCTGCTCTGAAGCACCGGCGATCCCTACGTGGTGACCAAAACATTGGGTCATTTACCATTGAAGTTCTAATGGGATTTTGACGCGCTCGGGTGTAAATATTTTGTAATTACATCGCAAATATACATATAAATGTATATATTTTCTTTTTCTACAACACTTCAGAGTCCTAAGTATGTGAAAACAACATATTTTTAAACAACATTTCATTCTGAATGGAATTAAATGCTATACTTTTCACAGTACAGTTTTCTCAGAATGGTTTAATTTGAATGAAATATTTTCACAAGTTTTCGTTAATTACATTAAAAAAAAAAAATTAAGGTAATTCGATTTTATTCGGTTAAGGTACAAAAATTAAGATCAAAGTTTATTGTATTATTAATATTAAAATTATGCATTATTTCTTTTCTATTTATAGAGCTTCTTCCTAAAATACTTTCTTAAATATGACATGAATTTTTGGCTTCTTTTAAATCGAAAAATGTAAGTCAATTTATAATTAATGCTCTATTCAGTTCATTTTAAATTAGAGAATTATTAGGAAAATAGTATTTGACTTTCTCTGAACATTTCTGAAAGGGAATAAAATAAGTTTTTTTTTTTTTTTTTTTTTTTTTTTTTTTTTTTTTTTTTTTAAGTATTATTTAAAACTTGTAACTGAGTTATTATAAAATGTAAAGGGAATAATTCTTTTAATTATACTTATCAGCTTTTTTTTTTACCCTTCATTTCAACAATACATATTCCAAAACTCTTTATTACGTTCTTAAGTGCGCATCTCATAGCATTTGTTTTACAATACCTTTTAACAGATTGCTTTCCAATACGAACAATTCTTGCTTAAATAGTTTTATAACGTATTTGTCAACAGGATTTCAATTTATGTTTACAATTCAATATTAAGGTTATTATATATTTAGATAACATTTATAATCATTATAAATTAGATACATTTAATCATTAGATTTCTTCACAGTACTTTCACAGTTGTTTATAAGTGAATAAATTCTTCATTTCAAATACATTTATAAATAATTTAATGAATATTTAAGTATTTTGTCAAAGGCAGATACATGCTTTTTGCAAGCACATGCATAAATACCCATACATATTTCCTATTTATCATTTCCGACATGTGCAAATCTTTAATTTCTGTGCATTCACTATATTTCGTGTAAAGTAATTTACACTAATTTAGCATACACCTGAAAGTTTTACATAAAAAATATATATGAATATAATTTGAATGAAAATTATAAGTATTATTTTTAATACCCACTCAAAGGTCATTTTTTCTTCAAAATTCCTCCACGATGGCATCTCTCTCTTTAGGCAGATAGCCCTTGCATGCGTTACTCTATTTAATAAAATCTTTTATCTGACCTATGTGCCTAATTACAAATATTTTAACATACATAATTTTATATTTACATTTAGCCATCAAGTTTCAAACTTTTCAAATCTTCTAGAAAATAAATTTTGGCAGATCTCTTTTAGCAATTTTCTTAAAATCTATATTTTTGTAGTGCAACAGCTTAGAATTTTATAAAACAAATTCATAATCAAAATCGCTGTTGTTAGTTATCGAAAAATAACCAAGATGTGATTTTTGCGTAAATGTCAGTAAACTATACAAATTGCTATTATCCATCACACTATGAATGTTTCTTTCATGCGAGAGTCCCTTTTTCGATTTCTATGGAACTGTCGTGTGTCAAAATACTATCAGAATTTTGTCAAGCGAGCTTCTGAATGTAAACAAAAAACACCCCGTCTGGTGACCCAAGCTTCAAAGCAGTGCTTCACTTCTAGCGCGGAATGGCCCCTCCTCCCTTTCCTACCTCCATGGGTTAAATAGTCCCTATGCCAACAGTTCCATATCAGTTGAGCGAAGCTGGTTGTTCATTTATATCTTGAGAGTCTATTTTTAGGTATATGAATTAACTCTTATTCCAAAGTACCATTCAAAGGTCTTCTAGTGAGTAAATAGCCTGGTGTTCAGGCGGCTAGATCATTTATATCAGACGAGAATTTAAAACAGATTCTGTTTGAGTTACTGCAGTTAATAAGCCCTTGAAAGGTAGCCTTGCATGACCTGCAGTCCACTTAAAGTGATATTTCACCAATTTAATTCTGGATTCCCATAGTGCACCAAAATTAGGTGCCTGAGGAGGAATAAATTTCCAAATGATTCCTTTTTCAGCTAAATAATCTGTTAATTTTTCATCAGGACATCTATTTAAATTGTCACCTCTTTGCAAATTGGCATTTGCACCAATGAAGTTTTTTGCATTGTCTGAGAAAATGACTGACCATTTTCTGCATCAAGCAGTAAATCTTTTTAACCCTCTGAGCATTACGGGTTTAGCCTTGAAATTTCAAAGTTCCTCAAAATGTCATGAATAAGTGATATTTTTCTTGATTTTAATTAAAAAATGACTCTTTCATTTTGTACCTTGATTCCTTTTTTTCCAATATACATCCAAACTGAAATCAGATACATTAAAAACTAGCAGAAATTTTCATGTACTATAATGAATGTGGAAGGCAACCTTCTGTACGGAATTTTCCGGCCTTAATGCTGAGAGGGTTAAGGTGGCAATAAATTATCAGTGGTTAGGTCATTTAGTTTGAGATATACTGCCTTTGTTATAAAAGCAAATGAAAAGCATTAAATATATCTTATGTAGAGTTTTTCTTCAATTCCTTGTACTTATGAAAAATAGGCCTCAAAAATAGGTGCCAACATGGTTAAAGTGTGCACTGGGATTTATACTTTA